ACATATACATACATACACATACACATATACATACATACACATATACATACATATACATACACATATACATACATATACATACACATATACATACATACACATATACATGCATACACATATACATATATATACATACACATATACATACACACATATATATACACACACACACATATGCATACACATACATATATATACACACATACATATATATACATACACATATACATACACATATACACATACATATATGCATACACATACATATATACACATACATATATACACATACATATATACACATACATACATATACACATACATACATACATACATACATATACACATACATACATATACACATACATACATACACACATACATATATACATATACACATACATATACACATATACACATACATATACACATATACACATACATATACACATATACACATACATATACACATATATACATACATATATAGAAAAATAAAACAAGATAGCACTCCCAGGACTTATTCAATCAAAAAAAATATAAAACTTAACTTTTAATCAGTTTCCAAAAAACAGATCGACGTTTCAGTCTGTTAACCACAGACTTTCATCAGGACTCAGTCCTGATACATATACATATATATATATATATATATATATATATATATATATATATATATATATACACACACACATATATACACATATATATACACACATATATACACACATATATACACATACATATCTCTATCACGCTCTCTTCTTGTAACAGCACAGAGTAGTCCATGCTTGGAGACCATTTGACTTGTTTCTATGATCATATGATCATCCAGAGAGGAAGCAGTTCTTTAATGAAAATGCAGCTCCCCTTTAATGAGTTAGATTGATGAAATCTAATCCCTGCAATTTCTCTGAACTCAGTAGTACACATTGATCTGTAACCGATTGCTAGGTGGTCCGTACTCTATAGGAAAGAAGGCTATGAATAGTGTAGGGGAGCCCCTGTGTCCTGACTGGATACCTCCACTAGTTTCTCCTCCCAGTTGCTATCAGGAACGGTTAGCGTTTATAGCTCCTATCCCCAGACATCAACGGCACATGATGATGGGAAGAATAATTGGTTTTATTGCCCACAATGCAGCCTTTTATGCACAGACCCGCCACAAAGAGACACTGTCTTCAACAGGAGTTGTCTAGTTCAGGGCTTTGGAGATTAATAGGATTTTTGTAACATAAGTGACTGGAATATGATCCTAATGTAGTGCTTCCTCATCGGGAAATGCACGTTGCTAGAGGCTAAACTTTAAACAAGTTAACCCTTTCAGGCTCAGTGTGTTTGCGTTTTTTTTCCTGCAACAACTACTGTACCTTAATTCTTTGCAACCTGGCAGTGGTGAAATATAATGTATTTTTTATTATGACAAATAATTGAGATATTTCTAGCAAGGGAAGGACAAGATTGGTATTTTGTATGGGGCCATTGATTTCTGGTAGGGATTAGTTTTGCAGAAGCTGTTCATCTACAGGGCTCTATGTCATAGCTCCAGATCTGTACTATATTGACTCTTTGTGCTAAAGTAATGATTCTCTATCCTCTATTAGTATAACACGGTTAAAGGGACACAATAGGCATCCTGACCAGTTCAGCTAATTGAAGTGGTCTGGGTGCTGTGTCCCTTTTGCAATGTTAAACATTGCAGTTCCAGAAAAACTGCAATGTTTACATTGCAGGTCTAAGTCTACCCTCAATGGCTGTCTATCAATCAGACAGCCACTAGAGGGCTTCCGGAATTGTAACTGACTTTTGGTCCATTATCTGATGCTGGACGTCCTCACGCTCTGCATGAGGACCTCCAGCGTCATATTTTTTCCCCATGGAAAAGCACTGATTCAATGCTTTCCTATGGGGAGGTCTAATGCGCACAAACGCATTTGCCGCGCATGCACATTAGCCCTGCTCGCCACAGGATGGAGGAGGGGGCCGAGCTTTGACCCTTTATTTACAGAGTAGGAGGGAGAGTGAGGGAGGCAGGGGGATCAGTAGTGCCTTTTATGAACATGAAAACTACTTCATTAGCAGTATCAGCACAACCCCCTTTGGTTGATACATTGCAATCCATCTGGGGTAGGTATAAGAGATTTGGGAATGGAGTGGCAGTTATATAGTAACAGGCACAGATCAGCCAGGAATACAGCTTTGTATTCCTGGCACTACAGTATCTCTTTAAATAATACACAGAGCAGGCTTACTAAATAATAATAATACTAATATGAATAATCCATTGGATGAGTTTAGTCAACAGAAAATGCTACATACCAATTTTGTGTGTGTGTGTGGGTAGGTGGTGGTTAGAACATTGTGTTACCTGGAAAGATCCTTCAATTTCCGTTTTCTGTTGACCGTTTCCTGCACTATGAAGACATATAGATAACAAAGCTTCAAAAAATCTCACAGTCTGAACTGACCACTTGTTTTTCTTTTCAGTCCCAATTAAACCACAGGATGAATCAGTTGAACTATGAGCCCCAAGTTCTTTAAAGTCACTTAAAGAAAGCTCTTCAGATAATGTTTTACTTTCATTTTCTTTCATGGCTTGTAACCCCAGGCAAGATCTTTCTTTTGCAGTATTAATTAAGGTATCAAGACTTGGAGTATGCAGGTTTTGTTTTCTGTCGTCTCTGAAACTGGAAAGTTTTTGGATTATCATTATTACAAGTCGATGACATAAATCAGAGCTGCCAAGTTTATGAAATTGCTTCTGAAACACTGAACTCGATAAGTATAAGCAGTAGCACATAGACCAGATGTCCGCTGCTCTGTATATATGCTCTGCAGAAGGCAAAACAAGGCTTTCCATTGGCAACTTTGGTAAAATGTTGCTTAAATGTTCACTTGCTGTGCTATCATAACCAGAGGTGTCTTCAGATTCATTTGCGTATTCATGTTCAGTTTCTGCCTCTTTGCTTACACACAAAAAGGCCAAGCAGAGAAATATGTTTATTGTGTTTATATTCTGGTGTACTTCCTTTTTCCTCTTTGGAGAAGCATCTTTTAAACCTGCATAGAATTTACTCAAACTCTGGTAAACATCTGAACATGATTGCTGGTTCTGAAGGAGAAGATATGATTCCTGTGTTGGTTCGGTTTTATCATTTTCATTTCCAATTTCTGGCATTAGGTAGTCAATCTGTTGTTCATCAGTGTAGATTATAAGTGTTTCAAACACTTTCAAACACAGGCACCTCACGGAGTCTAAATAATGAAGTTCAATCATTTGATTTAATCCATTCAAATTAAGGAAAGCTTCTTTTACCACACTGTTGAGAGAGAAAATGTTCAGCATATATATTGCAATTTGATATCAATTCAAACACAGACACCACACAGTTAAAAAAACACTACATTTTATGTTAAACATACTCATTTCAAGAAGTGCGGAATGCCTCTGACAGGTTGAGAGCGACAAGGTGACACTTTCATCCAATCAGTGACTCACCATGCACTAATCTGAAGTTTCTTTCCAAGCCAGGTTTGTGAATGGGGAGTCACTCTTTGGCTGAGAGCATCAGCTGATCGCTCTCAGCCAACCAGCGGCGCCCCTGACCAGCAGCACTCTGGTCTTCCTAAAAAAGGAAATTTCAGAAGCAGAATGCCGCCTGGGGAAGCGGAGTTTAGCACTGGAGGCAAATTTGGGGTTACCTCTTGAGGTAGGTGTGAACCAGGGGTTTTGCTGGCGCCATAACTTAATTTAGATGAAACGGTTTTGGTGCCTGGAGTGCCCCTTTAAGCATCACTACAAGTACAGCTTATTGTAGTTTTTATGATGCAAGGAGACTGTGGAAGCTGTCCCTTTGGTTTTTAGACAAACTTGTTTTGTCAATACATTTTCACTGCAATGTAAAACATTGTAGTTTTAGAGAACCTGCAATGTTTACATTGCAGTGTTAAGACTGCCTTTAGTGACTGTCTTCAAGTTTTACTCCAGAATCTCCAACATCTTCAAATCCCCTTAGGAAAGATCCAATTCTATGCTTTCCTATGGGGAAGGTCTTAGGCATGCGCATTAGATTCCAACCCCAGGGTGACGAAGGGGGAGGAGACAGAGCCGGCCTGAGAGACCTCTATGCTTGAATAAGGAAAGGATTTTTTTTTTTTAACCCTTTCACTGAATGGATTTGGTCATTTAAATTTTTTAAAAAAAAATAATTATGGGGGGCAGTGCCTGACAGCCAACTGAGGCAAACGTATGTTTCCTTGCTGGAAAACTGAAACTAAACATACTGGAGGGGTATTTAACATCATTTTAGAAGGCAAGCTTGCCTACACTACCTACCTGAACCATACCGACAGTCTGAATCTCAGAGGAAAGCCTACAAGCACCCAGCTCAATTTGCATCTGAGGCCTACAATGTTAGGCAGGGTGGAGGGGGTGGCCGCTCCTTCACCTAACGCACTTATATCTTGTTTTGGGCCCTGTTTCCCACCTCTTTGGACAGGTGGGGGTTTTCCCATCCCCACTGCGGTGCAGACCCGACGCAAATACAACACAACTGCAAACAATGAATATAAGCAGATACTCTTGTGGGGCTGAACTCCATTCCAATATGGCCACCACAGTGTCCAGGGCCCTCCACGAGGAGCGCATTGAGCATGCCTTTGAACGGCTATGGATAAGATTCCTGGCCACACTCACTCAAAAAAAGATGAGTTGTACCAGGAAGAAAGGCTTTTTACAACTGAACTCTGGCACGATCCGGAGCCTGCTCGTACTCACCCTGCCCTGGCGCTAAAAGCGAGAAGGCAGAGAAGTACAAAGCGGCAAACACCTTATCAGGCAGCTCAATCCAGCAGGATTGAGGTGGAGGAAGAGGAAGTGGTTGGCATCTCAAGCCCAGAGGCTCGCTTCTGTGGGCAACCGTCACTCACCTTGGCCTGAGTCCAATGAGGGTCAACCCACTAAGCACGACTCACATTCTCGGAAGGCAGAAATTCATTATGGCAAGCAGCAGTTTGGTGGCAGATACTGAGCCCAAGTTCGGGAAGCAGGACGCAATCGGACCGGTGGGCAAAGTGCGCTTAACTGTGCAAGAGCCTAGGGCTGGCAGGGTGCCGGCCTCTGGGTCTTGAGCAATAATACTCTGCCGGGAACTCAGTGTGGTGGCCATGGGTTAATACCCTCTCTACCAAAAGGCCAGGGATCCCTGACTTAATATGCATTCTTAGTACATGCTCCACTAGTATTGCAGGGATTTATTCATGTCTTTTCACTGTAGGCACCCAGTGGCAATATAGTTTATTTTGTATTAGCAGTTTTAATATCGATGGTTTCCATTAACCTAAAAAGTGAGGATGTATATTGTTTCACTCAGGTACCCACCATTAGACTTACTCTGAAATTACTTGTCTAGTAGCTCCTAGTTAGCACACTTGTTTACATACTATAAAATCCCACACTGAATGTAGTACACTAGATGCAGCTTTATTGCTCAGATATTATGCTTTAACTTTTATGCCTTCATGCTATGACATAGTATATTAACCCAGTGGTACCTATCTATTTGGTACTAATTACATGATAAAGCTTGTTATTTTTAGTTTTATTTTCCAAACTTGCACTATCACAAGTGAAGTCAGACATTTCAGCTAGTTAACCATATTAGGATTAGGATATGACTCACTTCCTGTTAGTCATTCGCGATCCATTTACTATTAGTGCATACAATCTATCTCACTCATTAGACAGCGACTAACAACTTACAACTTTTATTAAAAAAAAACAAAAAACACACACACATATATATATATATATATATATATATATATATATGTGCTGATGTTTATGTACACTTACTATCAGAGGCGTACATAGGGTCTCTAGCGCCCTTGGCGAAGAGTTATACACCAGGGCCCGCCTCCAAATCATGAAAAAAGTTAAAATTTTAAAGAATGTGCTCCACCATGTAAAGGAAAACTAAAGAAACATATGAAACCACTGCAAGGAGAACTCCTACAAACCCTCCGATCTGCTAGTGCGCATGAAATAGCAAAGCTCCATATACAATGCTTTTCCAATAATATGTGTCAAGAGCCTTGTATCATGAATATATATTTACACACACATATTTATACTTGTGTGATGATGGTGATGTGCCAGAGGAATGCTAGTCACCATATTGCAAGCATAGTATAGGCACATTACATCTAATGACAAGCAAGCATAGGCACATCACATCTTGCCACAGGCATAACACAGGCCATTACACCTTACTGCAAACACAACATAGGCAAATTGCATCTTTTTACAAGCATAACAGTGGGATATCACACCATATCAGTGCCAGACTGGGGATAAAAACCAGCCCTGGGAATAATTCTATACCAGACCAATAACATTGTGTCATTATATCAGCCCCATATCATAGTGTTATATGTTTGTTCACAAAAGGGAAAACCATGCATTTTAACCCCCTAAGTGACCAGACCGGTTTTCAATTTTCTTACCGTTAAGGACCAGGGCTGTTTTTACATTTCTGCGATGTTTGTGTTTAGCTGTAATTTTCCGCTTATTCATTTACTGTACCCACACATATTATATACAGTTTTTCTCGCCAATAAATTTTATTTCTAAAGATACCATTATTTTCATCATATCATAATTTACTATAAAAAAAAAATAAAATATGACATTGTTTGTAAAAAAAAATAACACTTTCTAACTTTGACCCCCAAAATCTGTTGCGCATCTACAACCGCAAAAAAACACCCTTGCTAAATAGGTTCTAAATTTTGTCTTGAGTTTAGAAATACCCAATGTTAACATGTTCTTAGCTTTTTTTTGCAAGCTATAAGCCTATAAATACAAGTAGGACATTGAGGTTTCAAAATATATATTTTTAAAATGTATCAATAGTGACATTGTAACACTATTATCTGTTATAAATCTCTGAATCACACCTCACACTTACATCATTTTTTTTTTTTTTAAGGTAGACAACCCAGGGTATTCCATATGGGTATGTCTAGTCTTTTTTAGTAGCCACTTAGTCACAAACACTAGCCAAAGTTAGCATTTATATTTGTTTGTGTGTTAAAATGTTAAAATAACTTCGGCCAGTGTTTGTAAAGACTGAACATACCCCATTTGCAATTGCTTGGGTTGTCTTCTTTTGCAAATGGTATGCCATCATGGGGGCAATGCTCATTTCTGGGCTACCACACGCTCTCAAAGGCAACATAACCAATCTGGCAAATTTCAATGTGAAAAAACGGAAAATCAAGCCTTATATTTGACCCTGTAACTTTCAAAAACACTATAAAACCTGTACATGGGGGGTACTGTTATACCTCGGGAGACTTTGCTGAACATAAATATTAGTGTTTCAAAACTGCAAAACCTATAACAATTGTGACAGACCCATCTGTATGACTATTATTTGTGGATTCGTCTAGTTTGCCTTCCTTTCGTGGAAATTGCTTGTTTCTATAGCCCATGCGTATGATTGACTTTTTACCTAACAAATCTACCGAACGGACGGCCACCCAGAATAGAAGTGTGCTGCTGGTTAACCTCTTGATCCCAATTAGAACGTTGTGGTTAACCGCAGACACTTCTTAATTATAACCGAATACAGGGTGGTCGTCGTTCGCATGTCGACCACGAGGCAGCGGCCATTTTAAATCACATGAAAGACCAGTTTGCTGCTACTTCTAAGTGCTGTTTATAAGTGTGTAGTTGGAGATATTCTGGAGAGTTTTACAGAAGCTTCAACTGTCTAAGAGTTGTGCTAAGAGCTTTCTTTTCTATTGTTACAGGTAAGATTCATCTGTAGGAAAAGGTTACTGATTGCACAAGGTTTGAATTCCTGTTGGTAATTATAAGGCATTTGATTTGATTAAGCAAGTTACTTGCTATCGATTGCTACTTAATTAGCTATTGTTTGCAAATAAGCAGAGGCCTACCCAGGTGTTAAACATTCCTAGTGGGTGGTGATTTTAGGAGTTATATAAGGCTTGTTGTCATTAGCTTGTCTAATCTAGCTTGGTGCTACTTCTAAGTGCTGTTTATAAGTGTGTAGTTGGGGATATTCTGGAGATAAACTGGAGGTAATCTGAGGAATTCCGGAGGATAAATACAAAGTTAAGATTTGTTAGATTTAAATTATTCTCCTAATTGGAATGGCAGACTTAGTTCAGTGTAACAATTGCTATGCATTTGTTTCACGTTCCACTTTTTGGAGGTTTGGTTGTTGTCTAATCTGTAGACAGTTCTCTATCTTGCGGCAGGAGATTGTATTTTTGAAGTCTGAGATTTGTAAATTATCTGGTGAACAAACTCAGACTGGAACTGCTGCAAAGCCACTGCCGCAGAGACATACTAGGAATGGCAGATGGATTACTGTAGGATCTGGTAGACTTAGAGTTGTGGATAAAAGGCATTTTGCACAGTCTGTTGCTCTTCAGAATTCATTTTCTGCACTTTCAGAGTGTAATGGTGTTGTGGAGAGAGGCACTGAGGCTAGTGGTGTTGTGGAGAGAGGCACTGAGGCTAGTGGTGTTGTGGAGAGAGGCACTGAGGCTAGTGGTGTTGTGGAGAGAGGCACTGAGGCTAGTGGTGTTGTGGAGAGAGGCACTGAGGCTAGTGGTGTTGTGGAGAGAGGCACTGAGACTAGTGGTGTTGTGGAGAGAGGCACTGAGACTAGTGGTGTTGTGGAGACCGGCTTGGAGACTATGGTGAGGCCTAATAGAAAGCAGTTGTTGGGGGATTCCATTATAAGAGGTGTGGAGATGGACAATGGTGGTCTTGTGAGGTGTCTTCCCGGAGCTACTGCTCACAGAGACAGGAGACGTATCTATAATATTGTTAAGCAAGCAAAGCAGGAAGGGGAATTGGATGTACTTGTCCATCTAGGGACAAATGACTTGGCTTGCAATGAGGTTTCAGAGGTTAAGGAAGTTTTTAGTGTTTTTGCCAATGATATACGGCAGGTTGCTTCCACACTGTCATTCTCTGAAGTTCTGCCTGTGCATAACACTCAGAACGACAGGCGGATGCGTATTAGGGACTTTAATTTGTGGCTTGGTGAATGGTGTCGGGAGCAAGGATTTGGCTTTATTTCTCATGGTAGCTCTGTTTGAAATGGAGATAAGCTGTACAAAAAAGATGGTTTGCATCTTTCTCAAAAGGGAACAAATGTTCTCAGTGAGCAGTTCAGAGGTTTTGCTAGGATGTATTTAAACTAGGAGGGGGGGGCAAAAGGGTGATAAAACATCAATCCAATTGTCCCCCAAAACAAGGACAGAAGGTGCCTGTAGCAAGTGTGTTAAAAAATGATAAGCTTAGAGTCATGTCTACAAATGCTCGCAGTTTAGGGAATAAGATCCATGAACTTGTGGCAGCAATAATGGCAACTGATAGTGTAGATTTAGTCGCTGTTACTGAGACATGGTACAATGAGAAAAATGACTGGGACATAGCAATACCAGGGTACTCTTTATATAGGAAAGATAGGGAAGGCAAGAAAGGGGGAGGGGTGGCCTTGTATGTGAAGGATAGCATAAAATCTAGAATAATAAAAGTTAGTGAGGCAAACATAGAGTCCATTTGGGCTACGTTAGAATTTGGTAATCACACAGTAACTCGTATAGGTGTGATTTATAGGCAACCAGGACAAATTGAAGAGTTAGATAATCTATGAGTTGACGAAATAGCTAAAATGACAATGAAGGGGGAAGTTATCATCATGGGTGACTTTAATCTTCCTGATGTAAATTGGAAAACAAAATTAGCTACTTGTGCCAGGAGCACATATATTCTAAACTCCCTACTGGGATTGTCTCTAAAACAAGTTGTTGAGGAGCCAACTCGCAAAGAGGCCATACTAGATTTAGTGTTAACAAATGGAGATTTGGTATCAGATGTTACTGTAGGTGAAAGTTTAGGATCCAGTGATCATCAGTCAGTGTGGTTTAATATAAGAACAGCGACTGAGTCACACCACACAAAAACAAAAGTTTTAGACTTTAGAAAAACAGACTTTTCTAAAATTAGAATATGGGTAGAGGAGTCATTATCAGACTGGAGCAATTTAAATGGAGTCCAAGAAAAATGGGATTATTTAAAAGTTGCACTATTGAAGGCAACAGAAAATTGCATTAGGCTTGTCAGTAAAAGCAAAAAATTCAAGAAACCACTGTGGTACTCCGCAGATGTGGCCAAAATAGTTAAAAACAAAAAGTTAGCATTTAGGAATTATAAAAAAAACCAGAGTGAGGAAGACAAAATGATCTATAAGATTAGGCAGAAAGAGGCTAAGCAAGTTATAAGAGCTTCCAAATCACACACAGAAGAGAAAATAGCACAGTCAGTAAAAAAGGGGGATAAAACATTTTTTAGATACATAAATGAGAAAAGAAAAGTAAAACAAGGATTAGTTAGATTAAAAACAAAAGAAGGAAGGTATGTAGAAGAGGATAAAGGTCTAGCTGACTGCCTCAATGAATATTTTTGTTCTGTATTTACAGAAGAAAATGAAGGAAAGGGACCTCAGTTGAGAAAAAGGATAAATTAGTCATTTATTACACGCGAGTTTACAGAGGAAGAGGTTCTATTTCAACTGTCAAAAGTAAAGACAAATAAGTCAATGGGACCTGATGGAATACACCCAAAGCTATTAAAAGAGCTTAGTGGTGTACTAGCAAAACCATTAACAGATTTATTTAACCAATCATTGTTAACAGGAGTAGTCCCAGAAGATTGGAAGTTAGCGAATGTTGTGCCCATTTACAAGAAAGGTAATAGGGAGGAGTCGGGCAACTAAAGGCCAGTAAGCCTTACTTCAGTAGTGGGGAAAGTGATGGAAACCATGTTAAAAGATAGGATTGATTAACATCTAAAAACACATGAATTTCAAGATCAGAGACAACATAGGTTTACTTCAGGGAGATCATGCCAAACTAATCTTACTGATTTTTTGGATTGGGTAACTAAAATTATAGATCAGGGTGGTGCAGTAGACATTGCTTACCTAGATTTCAGTAAGGCTTTTGACACTGTTGCACATAGAAGGCTTGAGGGATAAACTGCAATCTTTAAGTTTGGATTCAAATATTGTTGAATGGGTTAGGCAGTGGCTGAGTGACAGGCAACAGAGGGTTGTAGTTAATGGAATATATTCGAAGCTTGGACTTGTCACCAGTGGGGTACCTCAGGGATCTGTACTTGGACCCATTATCTTTAATATTTTTATTAGTGATATTGCAGAAGGTCTTGATGGTAAGGTATGTCTTTTGCTGATGATACTAAGATATGTAACAGGGTTGATGTTCCAGGAGGGATAAGCCAAATGACAAATGATTTAGGTAAACTAGAAAAATGGTCAGAATTGTGGCAACTGACATTTAATGTGGATAAGTGCAAGATAATGCATCTTGGACGTAAAAACCCAAGGGCAGAGTACAGAATACACAACAAGAGAAAATAGTCTTAAATTAGAGGGACAAAGGTTTAAAAATAATATCAGGAAGTATTACTTTACTGAGAGGGTAGTGGATGCATGGAATAGCCTTCCAGCTGAAGTGGTAGAGGTTAACACAGTAAAGGAGTTTAAGCATGCGTGGGATAGGCATAAGGCTATCCTAACTATAAGATAAGACTAGGGACTAATGAAAGTATTTAGAAAATTGGGCAGACTAGATGGGCCGAATGGTTCTTATCTGCCGTCACATTCTATGTTTCTATGTTTGGCATTTATTCCATGGAACTAAAAACGCACACTTTTTCTGCCGAACACCGCTGAAACAACAGGTCACCCTTCTCCGTCGACTTAAGAGACTTAACCCAGATAGCCTTCCCATGGAGTCAATCGCATACCGAAAGACTGTAAGAACTTTGACTCCATGGCGATTGAACTATGTGTATGGGATCTGAGCGCTATTCGCTAATAATATGCCCTCAGATCCAGGCTATCTGGGGATACGTTATACGAATGTAAAATGTTCGGTAGTTGTGTAATTATTTATTTTGTGTGTTTTCTGGTGTTTTACTTAAAATGGCGATTTGTCTTTGTCCTGGAGATTATTGAATTACTTCTCAATTATCTCCAGGGCAGAGGGGAGGAAACCATGCTGCATTGTGGGAAAAGTTTGTGCCTGTATGTCTGAAATAGCCAAATGTCTGTCATCACAGTCTCCCATTTGGTCCCCTAGGGGAGTGTCCACCAAGTGGGAGACCTGCATAAATACGGGCGGGTAGCCCACAGTAAAGCCAGATCTTGTTTTCCCTCAATACGGAGCTTGGTCTCGTTATTGGGGGGATTTATTACCGACAACTAGAGACTGATTGCTGAAGCCGAAAGCCGCTTGGTGGATATACTTGTTCGGCGTCTAGCGACGAATCATGGATTTATGTTTGGGAGTTTGGAGCCCTCTTACGGATCCCGGTCGGGAGATTGCCGCTTCCCCTGATGGTGGTTCGTACACAGCAGTATATGCGAACAGAGGTAGTAAGATTGTGAAGGGGGAAGCTTAACTAAACGGCGGTTTCACTCATAGGCACCAGGGATGTCTTAACAACAATGATATCAGTAAAGGTGCAGTATGTGTGTGAAAAATGCAAGGAAATGTCACTTTCACTGACAATATCATCACTGTGATATCTTTTACTGTTTTGAAACACTAATGATGAAAGGATGAAAACCCACTAACAGTTTAAGTGATATGCTTTCCTGAAGAAGTTTTTTTTCAAAGATTTTTTTGAAGGAGTGGAGACTGGGTGAAAGTCTAATGGAGAAGGGAAGGGAGTTCCACAGAAAAGGTGCAGGCCTGGAGAAGCATTGGAGGTAAGCATCAGATGTGGGAGTATGGACAGAGGATAGGCATAGGTCTTCAACAGAGCGCAGGGGCCTCGACGGGACATATTTGTGTATTAAGGAGGATAGGCAGGTTGGAGCAGCATTATGTAGAAACTCATAAGCAGTACCAAAATCTTAAATTGAGCCCTATATCTAACTGGAAGCCAATGTAGGGACTGACCGAGGGGGCAGGCATGGTAGGTGTTGGTGGACAGGAAAATGAGCCTCGCCACCGCATTCATTATAGATTGCAGTGGTGCAATCTGGGAACACGTAAGACACTGAGAAGGGGATTGCAGTAGTCAAGGCGAGAAAGAACAATGGCATAGACCAGTACCTTAGCTGCGTCTGGTGTTAAATAAGGGCGGATGCTATGTTTTTGAGATGGAAGCGGCAGGATCTGGCGATCGACTGGTCATGAGTGAAGGAGAGGTCGGAGTCAAAGAGACCACCTAGGCAGCGAGCCTGACTTGGAGGGAGACAGACATGAGAGTAGCAACACTTAAGGGAGGAAAGACCAGAGGTTCTGTTTTGGACAGGTCGAGTTTAAGGAAGTGAGCAGCCATCCAGTTGGAAATCACAGAGAGGTAGTGTAGCGGGACAACGCTACTAAGTACCATGCCCACTGATTATTCAGGTGTTTTGGTTTTGTATGTTGTGTCCCCAATCTGTATTCTCACGATTTTTCCTTGTTGAGTGTGTGTTTTCCGCTTACATTCTGTGTTTCCCCATGTGTTGGGTATGAATTTCGTGCGATTTACCAGGTTTATTTTGGGGGTTCCTCTATTTTTGGGATGTATATTTAATAGTTTATGATCTGCAACTCTCGTGTCTGGGGTATGGTTTGGTTAGGCAAGTGTTTTTTTTTTATACGGTATTGAATCAAGGGATTCCTATTTCTAGAGGGCTTGATCATTAACATATCAAAAGACTTCCTGGACACGTTGGAGTGACTTCACACACCCTACAGAATAGCTCTGCTGGAGTCCAAGCTTCAAAGAGGGATTGGGGTTGGAAGTTTGGACATTCCATGCAATCCAATTAACTCATTTTGAAATTGAAAATGTACTTTTGAGGAGTTTATGTGTTTTAATGTGTGTACCTGTATGTGCTGTTGGTATCTTCCAGAGCGGGAGATGGCCATCTGTAACCCGGCCCCCTCCTGCCTGGGATTGTGTTGTACTGAGTGGAGACCCCCTATAGGGGTCTGGGCATAAAGTCTGTGTGTGCAAAATAAAGAGCATCAGTCTGCCAGAGTCCAGTGCTTAAACCTCCAGAATTGTGTGTAGTCCTTTTCCTGGAGGGAGGGAAGAGTTAACCCCTGTGCCTGCTGTTCCAGCTTGCAGGGGATTCAGAAGATTTAACCCTTCTGTTCCAGCTTGCAGAAGATGAGCTTCCAGGGGTGAGTGTCGTCTCTGCCTGGGAGTGCATAGAGTGTCTCCCCTAACAATGCAAGGGTTCCTGATTGGCTGAAGTAACAGGTGTTAACCAGTGAAGGTTAACTGGGAAGGGGACTTCCCATTACAGGCAGTAAGAGACGAGTCAAGATGGGCAGAGAGATCAGGAGAGGACAGGTAGATTTGTGTGTCACCTGCATATAAATGATAATGGAAGCCAAAGGAGCTGATGAGTTTACCAAGGTAGGCAGTATTATTATTATTATTGCCATTTATATAGTGCCAACAGAGTCTGTAGCGCTTTACAATATTATGAGAGGGGGGATGTAGTATAGCTAGAGAACAGTAGGGGACCAAGGACAGAACCATGGGGAATGCCAACAGAGAGAGATTGGAGAGAAGAGGCAGAGCCAAAATACACTGCAAAAGCGCTGGGAGGGGTAGGAGGAGCAACAGGAAAGAGCTGTATCCCATAAGCCGAGATTAGGTAGAATGAGAAGAAGCTGTTAATGATCAATCGTGTCAAAGGCAGCAGAAACATCAAGGAGAATTAGAATAGAGTAATGTGTGCAAGATTTAGTAGCGATTAAATCGTTGGATACTTTGGTCACAGCTGTTTCAACAGAGTGACGAGCGGGGAATCCAGACTGAAGCGGGTTAAGCAAAGAGTTGGATTCGAGGAAGTCTGTAAATCTCGCATACAAACTTTCTCAAGGATCTTGGAGGTAGTTGGATGGTGAGTTGGGCTTTTTCAGAATCTGCATTATGGTTGCATGCTTGAAGGGTGAGAGGAAAGGGAGAGATTGATTTTAGTGAGAGGATGAGCAAGAGAGGGAGACAGATTGTGGATGTGATATGAAGGAATAGGATCGAGGGAACAGGTGGGAGGACCGGACCAGAGCAGAAACCTCTTCCATTGCAGAAGGTGCGAATGAGCATAGAACAGCGGAGGGGGTGGGGTTGGGTGATGTATTGGAAATGTATTGGAAGGGGAGGGAGAGAGGTTAGAAATCTCTTCCCTGATTGTAGAAACCGTGAACAACATCGATCGTCGGCTGGGGACCATTTTTTTGTCAGGCGTACCTAGTACGTCCTCGATCCTTAAAGGGTTAAAGCACATTTGAAGAGTGTAGTATTTATAGATAAGAATGATATATGCCCCTGCAGGGGGCAATATGCCCTTAGTATGTACACAACGTTATATGAATTGCCCTGTGCAAGGGTATATATCAGGGCAGTGTGTGAGACATAACCATGTGTATATACTGGGGGTATATATCAGGGCAGTGTGTGAGACATAACCATGTGTATATACTGGGGGCACATACTGTCTTACTCCAGCACGCAGATTTCATTTATAAGACTTGCTCGAGCACCCAGGACTTACTCCAGCACGGAGACTGCACTCACAGGACTCCCAATGCAGCTCAAAGATAAGTCTTTGCAAGGCAAGTGCTCTAAATTGCTGCCTAAATTGCTGCCTCTTTAGCTCATTGCTCACTAAAATAACAGGAAGTAACAAGACCTGTTTTCTGTTACTTGCCAGGGGGCTGTAACCAGTATAATTTATAAAAGTGTAAATTTGTACTGAACTCTGCACTATTTCCAAAATGAAAAAAGCTCAAGTCCATTAGGGGTCTGGACTGTCCCTTTAATAAGCCTCCATGCAATTGGGCACAGAAGAGGGAGCAATAGTTTTTTTCTTTTTAAAATGTCGAGTTTTTTTTTTTTTTTTTTTATGCTAGTGCTGCCAGTGGGCAAATAGTAATAAATAAAATAACTAAAAATTGTATTGGCTTCGATTTTCAAACTGATAACTATAGGCTTCTGGTAAGTTTTTAGTGCCATCTGTGTAATCGATCCAGACCAATAAAGCAAATAAACTCCTGATAAAGATAATCAGCTCTGATTTAATTGAAGCCCTGGAGATTTATGACTAATTAAAGGGACACTATAGTCACCAGAATAACTACAGTTTATTGCATTTGTTCTGGTGACTAGAATCATTACCTTCAGGCTTTTTGCTGTAAACACGGTCTTTTCAGAGAAAATGCAATGTTTACATTACAGCCTAGTGATAACTTCACTGGCCACTCCTCAGATAGCTGTTCCTAGGATCCTTTCTAGGTCATGGCTGCCTAAAATGCATCCAAACATTCAGTGTCTCCACCCTCTGAACTTTCCTCATAAAGATTAATTGATTCAATTCATCTCTATAAGGAGATGCTGATTGGCCAGGGCTGTGTTTGAATCATGCTGGCTCTGCCCCTTTGTCAGTCTCAGCCAATCCTATGGGGAAGCATTGTGATTGGACCAGGCCACCACTTCTGCTGATGTCAGCAGACTGCCTAAAAAAAGTTACAGCTTATGGCTTGAATACAGTAAGATTTTGCTATATTTATGGAGGCATGAGGGGCCCAGGGGGGCTAGATGGTGGTTTTAACACTATAGGGTCAGGAATACATGTTTGTGTTCCTGACCCTATAGTGATGCTTTAAATAATTACAAAGTAACTCAATACTATTTCATGATTATTTTTATTTTTTAAATACACCTGTGCCACGATTGATTACTAATGTAGTGCATCAAACTGCAAATAGATAGTTTGAAGACATATTTACAACTGGTCACCATATAGTTTGTCATTTTGCACTCATTCATGACACTTTCCTTGTGTATTAAAAAGAAAAAAATAAATATATATCTCCAAATATGGTGGGGGGAAATTGTGATTGAAATCCCCTTCCACATGAGGTCTGTGGATAGATTTTTGTTTAACATTGTATTAACTATCCACAGACTTCAGGTGGAAGGGGTTTTCAATCATAATTCGTTCCCCACTGTGATGAAAGTAACCTCATCACTAGCTTTTGGAGGGGCCTGTTTGCCAGGCTCCTACCCTGTGATTATGGCCCTGTGACAAACTTAATCTCGTCAAGGGTTCTTGGAGGGGCCTGCTGGCCAGCCTATCGCCTCAGGACTATGGGCCCTGCAATATACCTTGCCCAATGCACTTTATAAGGCTCTGTTCATGTTAAGTATGTACTTTTGTACTCCAGACAGAGAGACCGACCGTTAGCCCTAATTCTCTGGGACTGTTTTGGGCATGGGACCATGTGCATGGTGGGTCAAAAATACGACTTATAGGAATTTCCTGAACCCCTGCTCTGATCTGGGTAAATTTTGGATATGTTGTTCCAGATCAGGGCTATCATGGGATGTAAGATTTATGGGGATGTTGTGTTCTGGGGTATATTTGGGGTTTCGTAAAATATGTCTTTTATGCTTGGGGATAATTACGTTAATACATTATCTATCTTAATTGTATCACAGGCAGAGGTGAGGGATTGTGAGCTGTATGTGGGAGTGTCAGGCATTGTTACATTGTTTCTCCTGGTCTGTACAATTTGTGTCCTGTGCCCAATCAGGTCCAGTGGGTGTTCCTCTGGCCTGAAAAGTTGTATAAAAATCCAACTTGTACCATTAAACTCTCAGATCATCTTGCACCTTCATAACGTTTCGGCTTATGTTTGGGGGATTGGAGAACTACACTCTGGGGATTGCTATAATCACTATACTCCCCTGAGTATAATCACTAAGCTCTCTGGAGCGAGAGAGGATCACCCACTGGAACTTGGAGCCTTGTCGTAGGCCCAGGGTGGGTAAGAGACGGCGAGACCCCAACCAAGCTGCGGCGGTTTGTGGGGTTTGCAGTGGTTATGGTGCTCCAGCGCAGTGCTTATTGTACTAGACAGTACTAGGAAGCGATTGACTGAGGTACCCGGTCAGGGTGCCAGGCGGTCCTTCACACCCACCATAACCTACTTGGATTTTGCTTCCCAAGCACTACCAAGCCTCAATAAGCAAACCAGTAAACCAACCTCATGCTGATGATTTGCATTAACAATGAAGCAGCGGTCCATGAGTGGTTTACTGGCTTTGCATCTTTTCCTAAATTGTGTTTCAAAGCTGTTGTATACAGCAAACACAGACTCAAAGGAATCCATGTTTGAAATGGAATGAAGAAAAAAAATTGTTTTTATGTTAAACTAATATTTCCACCCAGAATCCTTTGTATTAACATCACTGCAGATTTGCGATTTCTATGGGAAAAGCAAGACTTATGGCTTGACTGGTGTGCAGATTTTTGTTTAACATTGCATTAAATATATATTATATATACACACACACAAACACACACACACAAAATTTACAAACCTGATTTTCAGCAGATTAGGCAACGCGTGTAAATACATCTTAAGCACATCTTCTGAGAAACACTTCATGTGGTAGCTGCAAGCTTTGTTGCATGATGTCGTTACACCTAAATGTTGGGAATGATGTGCCATCTCTACTCCTCGTTGTAAGATCCCATTAAAAATAAGGGTGTACATTTTCCACTGGACAACTGCATTGCCTTTCTGGATTAAATGGCATATATGGCCAGCAATTTGCAAACCAAGTTCTATGTCATTTCCAAAAACAATATCTTGATATGCTTTTAGTGCATCCCATTTCCATATCATGTCTTCTGATCCAGCACATGGTAAAATTCCTTGATATTTATAGGAATGACTGTATGAGCTTAAACTAGAATCTGTATCCTGCCCATGAATTGCATCTTGCAATTCTTCTAAATGTTCACCATCCATGATGCATATGTTACACGAAGCTTGTTTAACATTAAAAGAAACTCCAGCTCCACCTAACTGATCTAGCACAAGGTTTGTGAGGATAGCCATTATGTTTAGCTGAAATTTTTTTAATGCAGGCAATTTAAATGCATGAAGCAGTGGTTTTATGACGGATTTGGGATCCATACAACAGCAAATTCCAGCACTGTTAATACCAGAGAGAATTTGTACATAGGTAGTGGTTAAGGAAACTTGCTGAAGTAACCGAAGACACTGATGTGCACATACTGCAATGCAACAGCTCCGTTCCGGATAATGAACTTCTCCATTTGCATTCTCATCAAAAGGATTTTTGAAAACCTGGCTTTTAAAGAGTGATACAGCAAGTCCTGAGAGATCCCGGTGATGGTGTAGGAACGTTGATAATTCACATCTCCTATGTCTCTTTCTTGTACACACAGATTGGTGGAGCTGTTCTGATTTAATTTTTTTGATCACGCTGATTATTTTTATAATGCTGCTAATGAGAATACTCACATGGTCAGATGCTTGATAAGAAATGTTGTCATCTCTTGAACATATCCATTCCATTTGAAGTATTGCCCTTTCAAACAACTCAAATCCATTGTGTTGTATGAATTCATGCAAAAGTTCTATAGACTGGCTGAAATAAAAAGGGTTTGGGGCTGCAGACTGAAGGCACGACAGAATCATTTGCAAAATGCCTTCTAGAAGCTCTGGTAAAAGGAGAGCTTGGTGACGACATTTTGAAAAATTAAATTCATCTTTAACTTCTTGTAGTGTTTTCTTCTGTCTTGGTGCAAAAGGGTCTGTATTTTTCTCTAGGCAAGATTTAATTTTTAGAGTTGTTCTTAATAAATCAACAAGGTTCTTCCTCAGATGATCAGGCATAACATCCATACTGCCAATGTCTATAGACAGTAGATGTAACACAGTACGTAACAACATCCTTTGCACAAGTGCTACAGATTCATCAGACCAGCCTGTTGAAAGTATCTTAGAAGAACAACAGTCGCCAAATCCTGAAAGAAACTCTGTTAATGTTGGAATTACACATGCTGTTATTGAAGAATTTTGATTTAACAGAATGTCAAATTTGCAAACCTTTTCTAACAAGGACAATAAGACATGACAAAGATCAAAGGGGGAGTTATCCATGCTTTGCACAATATGTAAGGCAGCAATATCACTTAAAATCTCAGACCCAGTTTCCATTGGAGGGCTTACATTTTCAGAATGTATAGTATCTGGAGTCATATTAAATTCTCCTTTTTGCATGGATTTTCTGAAATGATACATAGCAGCTGTCTGAGGAGCATGTGGGCGTCTTTGCTTAATCATTGTAGGTGACGTGTCATCCAAGTTTCCTTCAGAATCTGATGAAGACCATTGGGATTTTCTTGCATCCTTCGATGAATTTTGAGGTTTAGTTTTGCATGATGTATTTGATTTGTGTTGTGGCAAATTAATTTTTAAAGGAGACATGAACTCTAATTGTGAGGTTGCTTCAGCAGCTGAGTTTTCCTGAGATTGTTGATGAGATGGCTTTGTATCCTTGGTCACAAACAAGTCCGTTAAAAGTGGAAGGAGACAGAAATCTGGAGAAAAAACAAAAACAAAACAATTGTTATAATAATAAAGTAACACTTTATTACTAAAGTAATTGTTTTAGATTAGATATATTATTATAATTATTAATAGCATTCATATACCACATATTCCATGGAGCTTGGCAATTATAGAAAGGTGATATTTTTGAAGGTGAAGAGGGCCCTGCTCAAATGAGCTTAAAAAAGGTAGGCTGATGCCCAAGGACACTTACTGGTAAGGTGGTCCGATTGGAATTTAAATTTGTATTTCCTAGTTTTAAGGCAAAGATGTAATGTCGCAGAAGAAAACATATTTTTGGAAATTTGTTTTAAACATCCAGCATTCCTTTGAATCCGGCATGCATTATCATAATTTCCAAAAACAGGAACCATATTTAACAGCATAGCAGCTAGTGTCACCATCTTGATAACTGCTAGATAGCTAAGTACCATTCTGACACAAATTCTATACAAGAATTTAAAGCAGAGTTGTTAAAGAAAAGATGGAACTCTAAAGCATAGAAAGAGGCACATCTAAAAGGGGAGTCTGTCACTTCCAAGGATTTTTAATATTAACCCCTTAAGGACCAATCTTCTGGAATAAAAGGGAATCAAACATGTCAAACATGTTATGTGTCCTTAAGGGGTTAAACGTATCCCCTATATTTAACAAATAAGTTTGTCAAGTGTGAAAAATTAAACTGAAAGTAAAAATCCACACCTCTCTATACTGCATTTTTTTGGTCATTCACGGTCTGTTACAAACTCTGTCCTTTGCACCTGGCAGTAAGCATATGCTAAGCCAGCGTTTCCCAATTAGTGTTCCGCAGAACCATAAAAAAAATTGGGGTTCTGCAGTGATTTGCCCATCGGGTGGGCACTTTAACCGTTTCATTACCACAACTATGTCATGCACACTCTTGGGAGCGTTCGCGACAAGCAGCTCCCCACACACACACCAGCCTCAGCCAGCAAGTCATCCTCCTGCAGACAACAGTTATGCTAACAGGAGGGTGACTGCAAATATAAAAAATTAAATGTGTATGTATTTCACAGTGTGTGTATCTGTGTGAAATCTTTGTGTCACTGTGTGTATGTTTCACTGTGTGAGTCACTGAGTACCTGTGTTAGTGTGTATTTGAGTGTATGCGCCAGTGTGTGTATCTGAGCGTCAGTGTGTGTATATAGGTGTGTGTCACTGTGTGTATCTGAGATTGTTTGTATCTGTGTGTATGTGCCAGTGTGTGTGTATCTGTGGGTCACTGTGTGTATCTTTCAGTGTATCAGAGTGTGTGTATGTACAAGTGTGTGTATCTGAGTGGTCAGTGTGTATCTTTCAGTGTGTGTGTGTGTATGTGTGTGTGTGTGTATCTGTGTGTTAAGGTGTGCGTGTGTCACTGTGTGTATCTGAGTGTGTGTGTATATGTGTGTGTATCTGAGTGTGTGTGTATATGTGTGTGTATATATCTATGTATCTGCGCCAGTGCGTATATCTGTGTCAAAATGTGTTCAGGTGTGTTCAGGTGTGTTCAGGTGTGTTCAGGTGTGTTCAGGTGTGTTCAGGTGTGTTCAGGTGTGTTCAGGTGTGTTCAGGTGTGTTCAGGTGTGTTCAGGTGTGTTCAGATGTGTTCAGATGTGTTCATGTGTGTTCATGTGTGTTCATGTGTGTTCATGTGTGTTCATGTGTCAGTGTGTGTATGTGAAGTGTGTATCTCTGTCTTCATTTGTATGTATATCTGTGTATGTGGCAGTGTGTGTGCATACACACAATCAAACACCAACACAACATGCAAACCCAACCCTGCAAACAAACATTACATACAAAAACACCCCTGAATTCAAACTCCAGAATTATATACAAACACGGCCTTCACTCAAACACCAACTATACACACATGCATTTAAAAGCCAACACTACATCCAATCACACCCCTACACGCAAATGCAAACATTACATACAAACACCAACTCTACACACAAAAGCACAGGTACTACACTCTGTTTACTATATGTGGAAATAATTGTATATAAACCAAAAAAAAAAAAAACTAAATTTGCAGAAGTGTACCAACCATGATGTTGGTACACTATGTTAAAGGGTTCCATGGGAAAAATTAATTGAGAATTCCTGGGTTAAACATAGGAAGAGGAGGAGAAACTGAAATAAAGAAATTCTGTTTCTCCTCTTAATGTGAACTGTGTGCTCTGGCCTTGACTGAATAGAAATAAATTGTGACTTTATTTGCTTTAAAAACATACAAAAAAAAAAAAACATTCACACACAAAAACCTAAATCCTGGTAGGTTTATGAAAGAAGACCAAAAGAACAGATGTGGCAAAACAAAAAGAAATGGAAAGTTTTTATTTTTTTTTAATTTATTTTTTTATCTAAGGTGGAATAGGAATTTGACTCCATGTTGCAAATAGCATAAGTGTCAATTTTTGCTGCCCATCCCTAAAGAGGTTGACCAGGCTGCCGACAGCCTGCCCCCTCAAGGCAGACTATACGGGAGTGATGCAGAGGTACTCTTTGTATGGTCACAGCACAATTTGAGACTGTTGGCACCTATGTATAAAGCCATATAATATGTTCATTTCATTTACTTTTTTGAACATATACATATTTGTGATGGTCAACATACCCTGTGCTGTTCGAAAATTAGGTACCATAAAAATAGTGATGTGGAAGCCCCCCAAGACAAGGGATCATGGAGACCGCTGTCCCCAGTTATCACTGTATCCATAAACCTCAGCCAGTCTATATTATGAAAGTACACATCGTGATCGCCACTTCTACTTGTGATTACTCTAAGCATCACTAGAAGAACAGCTGTTACATGCCATAAGACATGTAAAAAGTATAAAATGGCTGCTACCTGCCATAGGTCTGCTGTGGAAGTCAATTGCAGTTGTCCTATGCAGTAATCGACCGCTAATACCCAGCTGTAACAGTACAGACTGGGATCAGCTGTCAATGGGCTATTACAGTCTACCTATTTAGCACTAAGCCTAGTGGCTTATCTATTAAACAAATAATTGTTATGGATAGCTTTGGTTGCTGTTAGCTAGCATAAGTGTTAAAGCAGTGATGGGGAACCTTTGGCACTTCATTTCCCATAATGCTCTAACAGCCATAATTCTGGCAAAGCATCAAGGGAGATGTAGTCTATAACATCTGGAGGGCTGGAGGTTCCCCACTCCTGGGTTAAATGGACACTATAGTCACCAGAACTACAGTCTAATGTAGTTGTTCTGGTGAGTAGCCAGTCCCTGCATGCTTTTTAATGTAAACACTGTTTTTTCTAATAGCCACCTCTCTGACTGCCACTTTAAGGTGATTCATGGGGGCAGTTCAGCATCTACACGCTCTGCATGGAGATGTTGAACTTTCCCCATAGAGATGCACTGATTCGAGATGCTGATTGGCTAAGGCTGCATTTAGCCCCACATTTCCACGCCTGCTTGGCTGACATTATCAGAATTGCCAATCTCAGCCAATCCAATAATTTTGTATAGAAGAGATCATAAATTCTAAAGATGTCAGCCAAGAGGCCTAGGCCCTGAAAAAAAAGTGAGTTTTCTTATTATTTAAGGGGGGGGAGGGCAAGGTGGCCAGAGACCCTACATGTGTTTTTAACACTACAGGGTCAGTAATACACGTTTGCATTTCTCACCCTATAGTGTTCCTTAGCCAGGTGTGAAGCTTTATATACAAAAGACATTCATGTTCATTCTTTTCCCGACTAACTGGCTGTGTACATTTTGTCTGTTTATGCTTCACAGACCTCTGACCTTTAGATTTGCTAATTCAAAATTAGCAGTCAGTAGCCAATTTTCTGCTAAGGGTCATAACCTAAAAAACAACAATAATCCAGAAGTGAATAATGGTGCCTGCTGTTCTACACATTCAGAAAGATGGGAGCATACTAAAAAAAAACAAAAAAGGCCAGGCAAACTAGGGTACACCTAAAGCCATTTTGGGGGAAGTGAGAAAATCCACTATATTAAAGGACTACTCTAGGTACCAAGACCACTTCAGCTTAATGAAGTGGTCTGGGTGCCAGGTCCAGCTAGGATTAACTCATTTTTTTTTATAAACATAGCAGTTTCAGACAGGGCCGTCTTTAACGCAGGGCAAACGGGGCAGCTGCCCCTGGCCCTGTCCCAGCTGGGGGGCCCAAGACAGCTGCTCCTTTTGCTCTCTGCCCGCAAACTATGGGGGCCCATTGGGTGGCCCATGCACTTAGGTGGGCCTGTGTCAGGTGGGGGCACCCTCAGGGCACTATAGTGGTCCTTTAAGTCAATGACATATTCTGTAAAATGTCTTTGCAACGGATACATTGTGACCATTCAACAGATGTAAACATTGTTTCTATGTCAGGTGTACAGAAATAGATTAAAGGAGCACTATAGGATCAGGAACACAAACATATATTCCTGACCCTTTAGGGTTAAAACCACCATCTAGCCACCCTGGTCCCCTCATACCTCTAAAAATAAACTAAATTCTTACTTGAATTCAAGTCTGCAGCTGCATAGTTTGTCCGTGTTTCCTTTAGACCTGCCCACTGCCTGCTGACATCAGCAGAAGTGGTAGCCTGATCCAATCACAATGCTTCCCCATAGGATTGTATGAGACTGATAAGGAGGCAGATCAGGGGCAGAGCCAGCACAATTCAAACACAGCCCTGGCCAATCAGCATCTCCTCATAGAGATGAATTGAATCAATGAATCTCTATGAGGAAAGTACAGTGTCTGCATGCAGAGGGAGGAGACACTGAATGTTTGGATGCAGTTTAGGCAGCCATGGCCCAGGAAGGATCTCTAGCAGACATCTGAGGAGTGGCCAGTGAAGCTATCACTAGGCTGTAATGTAAACATTGCATTTTCTCTGAAAAAAAATGTGTTTACAGCAAAAACCCTGAAGGTAATTATTCTACTCACCAGAACAGATTCAATAAGCTGTAGTTGCTCTGCTGACTATAGTGTCCCATTAATGTGTTAAGTTAAACACTATTTTTGGTTGAAGTACACTCTTAAAAGTAAAATATGGAGGGTTAGGGGGGTTATAACTGTGTAGCTCTCAAGCAGCCATTCTGGGCTAAGTATGAGGAGTATGGAGGAGGAGGCGGCAAAATACATCTTTGCATTGATATCCAAAAAACTTTTCACCAGGAGGAGGTTCCTTGATCTCCTATTGCCCTGTAAGTTATCAGTCACAATTACCTTTTCCAGAAACCTAATGCAATGTAAGTATGAATACTGCTTGAACTGACATATATTGACTAGTTACATTTTTACCAATAAAGCATTAGGCAAAATCAGCACAATAATTTAAAATGCAGGGGCAATAACAACGTGAGTCATTAAAATACATAAAATTCTCTTGTTTATGCATACAACTATGGTACTGAACTCTATTGCGAGATTTAAAGAATTCTCCTAAATTAAAAATTTACCAAATTAAACAGAGCATAGGATTTTAGCTGTATTTCGACAAAAACTGAAAAAAATATATTGTTTGTCTACAGAATTAATTTTCTAATTTTCAATTTTGTGTAAACTACTTTTCAAGATACAACACCTCTTACTTGCGTTTATCCCAGCAACTAAAGGTAAACACAAGTTAAATTCCTGGCAATGCTGAACAGTCAGCTGGGAGAAATCCTTCCTTCTTTTCCTACAATAACTTAGTGAGAAAATCTTTTTTATCACTAGAAGTATTTACTTTCCTACAATACCAGTTATTTTTTCAGTGGTGCTTCCTATGCATGTGTGTCTCTATAAATTATGAGCTCCGACTTTCTTAAATAAAACTGCAGCATCTATCCATGGATGAAACAATAAATGGCTATTTTAAGGTACAATCTAGCTTTCTCTTGACATATCTAAAAAGTGCTTATTTAACTTATTAAAATAACCTTGGGATTACTCAGATCTCAGTTCTACAGTTCTACATCCACACATGGTTACATAAATAGATATAACACTCACATCTACCATATTCAGCCAATAACATAAAAACAACTGAGAAGAGTTTGAAATCAAAATGCCACATTAAACACACATTCTACCTTACCCCCACTACCACACATTATTTCTACAGACAACAATAAGCTACATGAGTTTCAAGATCATTTAGTGACTATCATTCAACTGAATTTGGGGGGGGGGGGGAATGGTTTACTGATCACTACAATCTATCAAACAACATTGTTACTCCAAGGATAGACCGCTATCCTCATATTTTCTTATTTACGAATTACCCAATCAAGGGTGTTTAATATTCTCAATATCTGTTCATATGAAAAGCTTGCTTGAAAAAAGATTACAAATTAAAAAGTCACATCTGATACAAAAGTCATAAATAACAGCTTACCTCTTGCTTTTTCTTCTTGTACAGGTATCTTCCAAACCAAAGGCAGCAAAGATATCAGTAACGTAAGGAGTTCCTCTCGGCATGTTAAATCCTGTGCAAAAAGGAAGGCGATTGTTCGTAAAAGTACTCAAGATGCTATTAAATGTTAGTCAAAATAGTACAAAGTTCAAGATAACATTTACCCACAAAAAACGGACATCAAAAACATATATAAGTGGGGAGAAAAATAAAGGACATGGTTTTCTGCTCCATTGGCCTTTCAAATAAAAGTAAAATCAATCAGAAGACCTATTTATTGACATTGCAGATCACACTTCAAGATGCTACCAATCAAGAGCTAGCATTTACATTCAACACCACTATGTAATGATATGTGTAAACCTTTTCACAGCATTCCTTACCAGAGTGAGAGCAGAGAAAGAAAATGAAAAGTAAACAATTCATTACTGGACAAAAGTAATTCACCACTAGTAGACTATTCACTAAACAGCATGTTGCAGTGAATTTACAAATAACCTGCAAAATTCAGACAACATAGCATAGTTGGGCAAAAAAATGCAAACTAACCATAACTGGATCATAATACTAGTCTTCGCAGCTAACGAACTGTCTTAAGAAAGAAAGCATGTTACATTAGGCTTTTGTCTCTTGGTAATATGTTAAAGACTAACCGTTATTAATGTAGACTTAATTAGCTAATATTTACAAAGAAATAAGAGTGTTCATAAAGGCTTCAAAAGGAAGTAAAGTAGGGTACAAATATGCTTAGAGTGTTAGCAGAAGATGCATAATCATACCAGCATGTATTGCAAATTATAGCTATGAACCACTGGAACATAAAGGGTCATAGGCTTGTAAGAAAAAAAATACACAAAAAGAAAATACCACTGGGTTGTGAAGACAAAGCAATTACACATTATAAACTAAGACTGGTGCATGCGATAAACAAGTTTTATGGCCTACCCAGGAAAAAAGGGAGCTTAGCCTATGCCCAATAAACCACTATATGCAAGGCCGGCGCTTCCTATAAGGCGAACTAGGCAGCCGCCTAGGGCGCCATATAGGAGGGGGCGCCCTGCACCCCCATCGCCGGCCCTTCTAATGCTGCAGCCGCCTGAGCGCTCTATAGAGAGCGCTCAGACGGCTGCCGCAGTGCCTCACCTCCCCGGCCCTGCTGTAGCGTGGCCGAGCTCCTTTCCGGTCCGCGACCCGGCCGGACTGACAGGAAGTGCACACTCAATGGTATATTAGCGATACTGTCAGCTTCTTCACCTTTTCCAGTCTTCCTTCCTGGGACAACGTAAGTAATTTTTTTTTTTTTCCTCCTATATATTATTTTTATTTCCTTTCTCTTCCTGGTTTAAATTCTTCTGTTCAATCAACCATTTCCAGATGGATTCTCGTTCAAGATCCAAGGAATCGGATTCGTCTCACAATAGGTCACAATCAAAGCAATATAGGTAAGCCATCTCATAAATAATAATAAAAAAAAGAAAAAAAGAGTGGGTATGTATTTAAAGCACGTCTTGTGTATTGTAGTGCAAAAAGTACAAAGACTTCAGGATCGTCCAAAGGGAAGTCGCCCAAAAGGACGCTATGCATATCCTGTGACAACAGAGCCATAGAGGGGAAACGTCTCTGTTCAAATTGTCTCTCAGCAGCTGCAGGACCTTCTCAGCCAACACCGGATATTATGCAACTTATAAAGCATGCAGTTGCCCAGGGTATCAGAGAGGTTGGAATGACCCATAAGCGACCTAGATATTCTGAGCCCTCAGATCTTTCTCCAGGAAACTCAGAAGATGAGTTTATGGAGTCAGCTTCACTAAGAGACCTAGCCTTTTCCTCGGAGGAGGATGCTATGCCAGATCCAGACTTCCTTGTACCAGCGGAAGTGGATCGTTTAATTGCCCGGGTTAGAGAAACCCTTACATTAAAGGAACCATCAGAGGAGGAGCCCTCTACATCAAATCGTTACTTCTCCAATCTTAAGAGGAAAAGGGCAAGTTTCCCGGTGCATGACACTATCAGGGATCTTATTAAGGAAGAATGGTTTAGATCTGACAGGAGATCATCTGCCAAAGGAAAATTCTCCAGATTATACCTATTTGAGCCCAAAGATGCTGAAGCATGGGATTTTGCTCCCAAGGTTGATGCTGCAGTTGTCAGGTTAGCAAAACATACTACCCTACCTGTGGACGATGCTGGTTCATTCAGGGACCCAATGGATCGTAAAATGGAGTACTACCTTTCCAAGTCATATGTATCCTCAGGCTCAAGTCTCCACCCTGCCGTTGCTCTCACATCAGTCACAAGAACTATGAAAGTATGGTTACAAGATCTGGAGGAGGACATCAGGAGTGGCAGGAGCCGTTCCTCCATTGTGGATAGTATGAGAGATATGCATCTAGCAATTGAATTTTCATCCGAAGCAGCAGTAGATCTAGTAAGGAATCTTGCTAGGAATATGTCCTTTTCGATTTCCTCCAGACGGGCACTTTGGCTTAGATCTTGGGCAGCTGACGCTTCCTCCAAGAATAGTTTATGTTCTTTGCCTTTCCACGGGAATATGTTGTTTGGTAAGAACTTAAACGAATGTATAAAGAAGGATCCTTTCGTGCCCGAAAAGAATATCATTCCTTTCGGGATAGTAGATCTTACAAGCCTGGCAGAGAATATTCCAGATTTCAACCGGGAAGAGGAGCCCAATCTGGAGGAAGAGGAGGCAAGTTACGAGGTACTTTTTCCTCCAAAAACCCAAGGAATTCATGACTATATAATTCCCAAGTCCAAAGGGGTCGGGGCCGGTCTTCTCCAATATCTACACAGATGGGAAGAATCCACAAGCGACAGCTGGGTACTGGATATTATTCGGAGAGGATACCTTCTAGAATTTTTCAAGCATCCTCCCAACAGGTCCTTTCATCTCACAAAGTGGCCAGGGGACAAGGAGAAGCGTATGGCTCTACAAAACTTCATTCTATTCTTGCAAGCAGAGAATGTCATCACAGCGGTACCGGCAAACAACAGAAATCAGGGATTCTACTCTCACATCTTCCTAACAAAGAAATCCTCAGGAGGATGGAGACCTATTTTGGATCTGCACAGATTAAACAAACATCTACACATTCGCAGATTCAAGATGGAATCCCTGCAGTCCATTATAAAAGTGATCTCACACAACCAATGGATGTTATCTATAGACCTGTTAGACGCCTACTTCCATATACCCATTGCCCTATCCCATCAAAGGTTTCTGAGATTTGCCGTAGAAGAGGGTCATTTCCAGTTCAGAGCACTGCCGTTTGAACTAAGCACTGATCCAAGGACGTTCACAAAAGTATTGGTAGTTCTGATTGCAGAACTAAGAAAGATGAATATCGCTATCTATCATTATTTGGACGACATCCTAATTATAGGAGACAGCAAAGATTCATTGACCTCCCAAGCTATTACCTGCATCCAGTTTTTACAAGCTCACGGCTGGAAGATCAACACCAAGAAGAGCCACCTCCACTCAACTCAATCCATGATCTATTTAGGTGCTCACTTCGACACTCTGAGAGGTACGGTCCAACTTTCTATGACAAGAATATTGAAGCTCAGGATAAAATTGGGAAAGATAATAAAGTCCAGTGTTGTTCCTGCAAAGACGGTAATGAGTCTCCTCGGATCCATGTCATCCACAATAGGTCTGACCAGATGGGCACAATGGAAGATGAGACCATTTCAAGCCAATTTCCTGACGCAATTTGCTTCCATGAATCTACTCCAACCCATCAAGTTATCCCGAGAAGTATGCCAATCTCTGATCTGGTGGCTGAACAAGGAACACCTTTCCAGGGGGTTTCCGCTAGGAGACATCACATGGATAGCAGTGACAACAGATGCCAGCCGATGGGGTGCACATTGTCTCCAACACTTTGCACAGGAAGAATAGAATTTCATGACAGACGATGTGCATTCCAATCTACTACAACTTCTTGCTGTCCTCAAAGCACTGAAACATTTCTCAGTGTATCTCAAAAACCAATGGGTAAAGATAAGGACAGACACCACCACCGTGGTATCCTATATCAATCACCAAGGAGGCACCAGGAGTGGCAAAATGATGGGAATTATGAAACAACTGATGGGATGGGTTCAGAGGAACCTAGCAGGGCTTACTGCCATCCATCTACCAGGAAAACGGAATCAATTAGCCGATTTCCTCAGCAGATCCAGGATAGACCCAGGAGAATGGTGCCTATCGGACAGAGCATTCCGCATGATTATGGACAAGTGGGGTCTCCCTCAAATCGACCTACTGGCTACCCGTGTCAACAGGAAGGTAAAGATTTACTTCACGAAAGAAAAAGACCATCTAGCACTGGGAAGAGACGCGTTATCCAGCCCCTGGAGATTCAAAATAGGGTATGCATTCCCTCCATTCCCTCTGATCTTCCCAATCCTGAGGAGGATGAGAACAGAGAAGGTATCTCTCATCCTGATAGCCCCCTATTGGCCTCGAAGGCCTTGGTTTCCCCTACTTCTGAACCTTTCAGTGGAACCTCCTCTCCCTCTTCCCAGAACTCCGGATCTACTGTTCCAGGGCCCAGTGTTGCATCCAAACCCTGTCTCACTAAATCTCATGGCATGGAGACTGAAAGGAACAGGCTTGTGAACAAAGGATTCTCCCAGGCCGTAATAAAAACTATGCTGAAGGCTCGTAAGCATTCTACTTCAGCCACCTATTATAGAGTGTGGGAAATTTTTTCCGCCTGGGCTCTTCCTAGAAACATTGATCTTCAGAATCCTTCTTCCACGGATATTTTGGAGTTCCTGCAGTCTGGACTTTCTAAAGGTCTGAGTTATAATACTCTAAAAGTACACGTCTCAGCTTTGTCCGCCTTAACCAATCATAGATGGGCATTAGATTCAGACGTTATCAGATTCATTAAAGGAGTCCTTAAAATTAAACCTCCAATTAAACCATTTGTTCCCTCCTGGAATCTCCCTTTGGTTCTGAACGCCTTAAAATTAGAACCTTTTGAACCCCTTAAATCAGTTCCTCTGCAGGTTCTGTCTATCAAAACAGCTTTACTGATCGCCCTAGCTTCCGGCAGGAGAGTTTCGGAGCTTCACGCCCTATCCAGTAAGGAACCTTTTACGGTCTTTCATAAGGACAGAGTTATCCTCCGTACTGTTCCTGAATTCAGACCTAAAGTCTTTCACATTAACGAAGATATTGTTTTACCATCTCTGACGCCTGAATACCAAGAAAGCAAGAGTTCAACTGACATGTCATCTCTGGACCTAGTGAGATGCCTTCGGATATATAATGAAAGGACGGCAGCTTGGCGCATTTTTCAAAACCTCTTGGTCCTTCATAGTGGTAGTAAAAAAGGCTTACAAGCCCCTAAAACTACTATTAGCAGATGGATAGTGGCAGCCATTATATGGGCCTATCAATCCTCTGGATATCCGGTTCCTGTGGGTCTTAAAGCCCATTCCGCTAGGGCCCTCTCATCTTCCTGGGCAGCAGCGGCTAATGTCTCTCCTGAGCTCATTTGTAAGGTGGCCACATGGTCTTCCACCAATACCTTTATTAAAAGTTATCAAATTGATGTCAGAGCTGGTCTATCAGATCAATTTGCTAAATCTTTTCTGTCGGTATCCAATACATGATTCTTTGTTTTTTCACTGGTTAATGGTGTTAATACACTTTGCATTCAAAAATTTCGAGTCTGTGTTTTTTCTTCCCTCCCTGGTTTATTGCTTGGGTATTACCCAATGTTGTGCTGCCATGGATATGGCCAGGAAAATAGAAAATGTATCCATACTTACCGTAATTTTCATGTCCTGGTCATAGGCCATGGCAGCACAAGGGTCCCACCCGGGGCTATTGCTGTAAAACATGACTGGGGAAGGAGGGGTTGGAGGTGGTACTTATACGGCTTAATTATTATTCCTGTCCAATGAGGATAGGAAGGAGCTACCCAATGTTGTGCTGCCATGGCCTATGACCAGGAAATGAAAATTACGGAAAGTATGGATACATTTTCTATTATATATGGATATATATTATAGATATATATTATATATATATATGTGTGTGTGTATATATATATGTGTATATATATATATGTGTATATGTGTATATATATGTGTATATATATGTATGTATAGATGTGTATATATATATGGATATAGATATAGGAGTGCTGTAAATAAAGATCATTCAAATATATCTACAACTAAATGACTTAGAAATGGTATAGACTTGAATGCACTTCCTCTATTTAGTTAATGTTATATTGCTATTAAATAAATCCAATTTCATAGCGCTGAAAAGAATGAGAAAATAGTAAGCAGGAAAGAAAAAAGTTTGTACAGTATTGTCAATAACAATGTATCCCAATCTTAATGTAAAGTCTCCATAGATTGAAAATAGACTAATCATTAATAATCTCGATCTAGATAAATCAATAGTATTATAGTTATTCATATTCATTTATATCAAAAAGCTCATTGATGATTCGCTAATAAGTTGAAGTCAAATAAGGATCATATACAGTGCCTTGCAAAAGTATTCACACACACACCCCCACCTGGCATTTTCTGTGTTTTGTTGCCTCACAACCTGGAATTAACAGGGATTGTTTGAGGATTTGCACCATTTAATTTACAGAACATGCCCACAACCTTGAAGATGTATTTTTTTTTTGTTTATTGTGAAGCAAACCACAAATAGGACAAAATAGCAGAAAAAGTCAATGTGCATAACTATTCACCCCCTAAAGTCAATACTTTGTAGAGCCACCTTTTGCGGCAGTCGCTTTGGATAAGTCTCTATGAGCTTGCACATCTTACCACTGGGATTTTTGCCCATTCCTCCTTGCAAAACTGCTTCAGCTTCTTTCAAGTTGGGTGGTTTGCACTTGTGAACAACAATCTTTGTCTGAACACAGATTTTCTATTGGATTGAAGTCTGGGCTTTGACTAGGCCATTCCAACACATTTACATGTTTCCCCTAAAACCACTCAAGTGTTGCTTTAGCAGTGTGTTTGTCCTGCTGGAAGGTGAACCTCCGTCCTAGCCTCAAATCACGCACAGAGTGGTACAGGTTTTGCTCAAGAATATCCCTGTATTTACATAATATGAAGGAAAAGTAGAGTGTGTGTGTCAGGACGCTGAGATTTTGTGGGGGGGTAACCCCTAAACGTAACATAATTTTAAGGAAAAGAAAAACGTACAAGATAGCCTAAAGGGGAAATGATAAGAGTCCCCTTATGGCTCATGTACTATTACAGCAACCCCAAAGTGGTCCAAGGAAGAGCCGATGTGGGGATGGTGTTCTTTGAGCGATGTGATGTGTTGGGTTTGCGCCAGACATAGCATTTTCTTTGATGGCTGAAAAGTTAAATTTTAGTCTCATCACACCAGAGCACCTTCCTCAATACATTTTGGGAGTCTCCCACATGCCTTTTCGCATACTCAAAATGTGCCATTTTGTTTTTTTGCTGAAAATAATGGCTCTTCTGGCCACTCTGCCATAAAGCCCAACTCTATGGAGCGTACGGCTTATTGTCGTCCTATGTACAGATACTCCAGTCTCTGCTGTGGAACTCTGCAACTCCTCCAGGGTTACCTTAGGTCTCTGCGCTGCCTCTATGATGCCCTCCTTGCCCGGTCAGTGAGTTTTGGCGGGTGTCCATCTCTTGGCAGGTTTGCTGTTGTGCCATGTTCTTTCCATTTGGTTATGATAGATTTAATGGTGCTCCTGGGGATCATCAAAGATTTTGATATTTTTCTATAACCTAACCCTGACTTGCACTTCTCAACAACATTGTCCCTTACTTGTTTGGAGACTTTCTTGGTCTTCATGGCAGTGTTTGGTTAGTGGTGCCTCTTGCTTAGGTGTTGCAGCCTCTGGGGCCTTTCAAAAAAGGTGTGTGTATATGTAATGACAGATCATGTGACACTTAGATTGCACACAGGTGGACATCATTTCACTAATTATGTGACTTCTGAAGGTAATTGGTTGCACCAGAGCTTTTTATGGGCTTCATAACAAAGGGGTAAATACATACGCAAATGCCAGTTTTCTGTTTTCTATTTCTAAAAAATAGTTTTATGTATATATTTTTCACATTTCACTTCACCAACTTAGACTATTTTGTTCTGAGCAAGGCACTGTATGTCAATTTACGTTTTGCAAAAGGTATGTATGTGTGAATTTATATAATATATATATATATATATATATATATATATATATATAAAAAATATATAAAAAATCCCCCTACACTCATGCTTTGACTGCTTCAATGCCGGGCGCATAAGCCTGAGCTCCAATAGCACAACATCCAAGTAGAATGGCTGCTCACCGGTCTTTTTTAAAAAAACAAGCAAAAATGTATTAGATAAAGTTAAAAATAACGACCAAAGTTTCAGTCCCCGTTCGGGACTTTCTTCAGGGTCAATAACAGGACAACAAATAATGTATACACATACAAGCAATATATACCTATACAATTAATAAGATAACTCACCCAGGTGTTCTCCTCTCACCTCTACCGGCACAGTACTTGCGTGCTCCGCCCCCGTCACGCCTACAGTGCGTGCTGTCGTCATGGACGGCTGTCAAACCCGGTCACCCAGTGAATAATATAAACAAACCCTTCACCGGTCTGAAAGAGGGATATTTACAGTGCAGGAAAGTGATAAATGGTGAATCCAACATGCTGAATCAATAAACTAGCATGCAAGATGGACATGCTTGTGATGATAACATGTTTAAACAAGCAAAGTGAAATAGTAGAGAAATATAAAAATAGATATGTAGTCAGATACCTAATAGCAAATCCTGAAAACCAGGTTCTAAAATGAACACTCGTACGCTCTGTGCCGTAGAGGTGAGAGAACACCTGGGTGAGTTATCTTATCCCAGAGTAAATCTCTAGCCATTGTCGATAAGCCTGACACATCCCATGAAACCCGGAAACGTTCCAGGCCACCACGGACAGACGATCCTCCAATTTTAACAGATCTGGATTCCCTGCTGGATCTCGCATGAGAAACTTGGAGGCAGATAGTAGCACATCTTTGCACGATAACTCCAGCAGTAGAGTGAACCACGGTTGGCCCCTCCAAAGTGATCAGGACAATCGACACACTCAGAAGCTTGATCCGATGTAACGTCCCGAGAATCATGGAGAAGGGGGTAAAGCATACGCCCCCGATGGAGGCCACACTTGTATGAATGCGTCCACTGCCATGCTGCGGGGATTCAGAAGCCAGCTGAAGAACAATTCCATCTGACGATTCACCCTGGACTCAAATAGATCCAGATGGAAGGGACCTCGCAGGAAGTCTAGCATTCGAAACACTGGGGGACAGGGGAGGGGGCAGTTTCTCTCCAGTGTCTGGAAATTCAGTCCCCCACGCGATTGTCTTGTCCCAGGAGATATTCTGCCACGATCGATAGCTTCTTGTCCAGACAGTACTGGAAAGGTCCTTCTTGAGATCCGACAGAAGTTTCTAATGGACACCTCTCAGCCGGTTAATGTAGCAGACAGCCGAGACGTTGTCCATCCGAAGAAGCAATAAGCAGTGACTTTTTCCTTTGGTGTAGCTGCAAATGGCAAAGGACCCTGCAATCAGCTCCTCCGGGGTACAGAGCTCTCCAGTCGCCACACCATCGCAAGTAGCGCCCTAGCCTATGCAGCTGGCGTCCGATTCCAGGACGAAGTCTGGCCTGGATCCGAAGATCACCTTGCCCTTCCAGGTGCAGGGTTCCCGGGAAGATGGCTTGAATGGAGGAAGATAGCAGCCCTATCGTCTGGGCCAGATCCCTTAACGTGACCCTCGGATTGCGGAGTAGGCGTCTGATGTCCTTCCTTAGGACAGCCATCTGGGATACCAGATACCGACGATGTGCTTGTAGTATGGCTGGGTTCAGTAGAAGAATTCAACGAGTTTGTACGACTGTTTAATGTGAACATACTGAATCTGCAATTTACCAGCGAGGTTGGGGGCAAACATTTCAACTTTTAGACATCACCCTGAACCGAATCCACCACAAAACCAAGAAACTGAATCGACCGAAAGGGGTCCGTTCCGACTTCTCTATGTCTCCACAACCAGTCGTCCTCGCGGAGTAGATCCCTGAGAAGGTGGATGCCTTCCATTTTGAAATGATGGTAGACATATGTGTTAAGGGCGCGCAGATTGATTACAGGGCGGAAATCCCCTGACTTCTTCCTCACCATGAAGATATTGCTCAAGAAGCGAAGGGGGCCTGTCGCCCTCTCCACCGCTCCCTTGTCTAATAGGGCGAGTATTTCTGAATGGATCAGGTCGGACGACTCCTTGTTCATCTGAATAGGTCTTGGAGCAGAGGCCTGCTTTGGAGGTGCCACAAAATCAATCCAGAATCCGGACACAGTCTGCAGAACCTACAGATCTCCTCAGGAAAAAAGTGAGACAGTCTGCCTGCAATGGGTAAGTGTGGAAAATAAGGCAGAACTCTTACCTGAGGCATATCTTGCCCGTGTGGATGAAGCACCCCGCCCCTGGAAGATCCCCGGGAGAACAATGGATGGTACTGGTACCGGGATGAGGAGGAGAAGGACTCCGAGAGGTGGGGCCTGTTGCCCATGAAAGCAGCTCTGCTGGTGGTGCGGCCCCTGTCCCGACAAGCCCTGGAGGAAAAAACGATCCCCAGAACGGAAGACCCTTCAGAGTGATTTTTGTGCCTTGTCGAGGAACGTGTAGATGGAGACATGCCGATTCTCTCATGAAGGCGTCTCCAAATAGCAGGCCCTTGGCATCCGTATCCAGCTCCTCAGAAGCCAAATCTGCTAATTTCCCATCAAGTTTGTAAAGTGTCGCCTTGCGACATTCCGAGTTGAGGGCCACATTGGCATTGCCCAATAGACACAGCACTTTGGTCCCACTCCCTGAGTATCCTGTAGAATGTAAGCTCGATTGAGCAGGGTCCTCTTCAACCTATTGTTCCTGTAAGTTTATTTGTAATTGTCCTATTTATAGTTAAATCCCCTTTCATAATATTGTAAAGCGCTACGGAATCTGTTGGCGCTATATAAATGGCAATAATAATAATAATATAAGGAAGATCTGGGTCAGCGGGCTGCTGATATCGATGAGTTTAACCTGGGCACCTTGTTCCAGGCCGTTACCCTTCAAAATGGATGCTGCCCAGGAGGTGGGAGGGCCTGGGAGGGAGGGTCTGCTGCAGATTGGCCGGGATGGGTCTGCTGACTGGAGTTCGTGGCGAACCGCAGCGAACCGTTCGCGACATCACTAGTCCCTAATGAGAGAAAAAGAATGTGACAGCAGGTAGGAGCCATTCAGCCCATCCAGTCTGCCCAATTTTCTAAATACTTTAAATAGTTTATTTTATCTAGGATAGCCTTATGTCTATCCCACGCATGCTTAAACTCCCTCACTGTGTTAACTTCTACCACTTCAACTGAAAGGCTATTCAATGCATCCACTACGCTCTCAGTAAAGTAATATTTTCTGATATTTTTAAATCTTTGCCCCTCTAATTTAAGACCGCTTATTGTGGTAGTTTTCCTGCTTTTACATATACTGTCCTCCTTTACTGTGTTAATTCCCTTTATATATTTAAATGTTTCTATTATATCTCCCCTATCTCATCTTTCCTCCAAGCTATACATGTTAAAATCCTTTAACCTTTCCTTGTTACAATCCATATAGCAGTTTTGTAGCCCTTCTCTGAACTCTCTCTAAAAGTAGTCGCTATAGTAGCCTAGCATTAAATGGTGATAAGTCGGTTTAGGCCTAGCCCCTTACTTTGAGTGCGTCTCTTGGATAAGGACAATAGAGGCTCGTTTGTTGTGGAAGCCTTGCAGGGCCCCTGAGCACCTCTCTGGCTTGCTGAGCCCTCTAGCGTTTATGGAGAGAATGGAAAGACTGACTGGCATCAATGCAGTTCTGAATGCTGTAGCGTGCCGTCAGTACAATCACTAGGTCAGCCCACTTTGGTCACGTCAGGGGAGTTGTGGGGATAAGTAAGGAGTGGCAGGGGAGTTGTTGGGATGAGAGAGGAGAGAGGGAAGGAAAAGTTAAAAAAAAAAAAAAGGAGGGGAACAAGAGGTGACTTCAAGGAACAAGCGACGGGGTTCAGTGGCACACGGTACCACCGGTGATTCGTGGGTCCCGCTCACCAAAACAAAGATGCTTTGTTCTGAGGGGAAATGGAAGGAGGCCCAGAACCTACAAGTGGATCATGTCCGGGTATCCCGGATTCGCTCCAAACTATTTTGTTGCGGACACGCAAATTGTCGCTCAGAACTCAACCAAGTCAGAGCTTCCCCATCTCCCCTGTGCGGCTCTAAGCTCTGAGTTAGATCAGTGTCATATTAGCAATCCTCGCCATTAGTAATACAGCCTGTGGGCCTGTGTATATAGGATGTGTGCCAGAGCACATGAGCAACTGTAGTCATACTGTAAAATTCCCAAATACAATAACATGACTGGTGAATGTACCTCTGTCAGAAATGAGGACTCCCTCCCAGGTATTCATTCAGTCTTCCCATGGGCCCTGTCTGAGTACTCCGGCTTCTGCTGCCAGCATAGTTAGGTTGGTGTAGGGTTCGTGTGGCGATGCGACCCCCCCAGTCCCATGCTGTGTCCTCCTGTAGCTAAATATCGGACTACTGTGAACAAACTATTCTGCTTTCATAATTAAAATAAATTTTTATCCCTGTCAACCCACATGTGCTCCCCCCACCCCTCCCCTCATCCTTTACGTCCCCATCCTAGTTTTCAAGAGTGTGCCTTTATATCTTATTTCTAGCTATTCCCCCAGGGCATCTGCTCCTGTTAAAGTGGACATTGAGTGAACCTCTAGTTGTAAGAGTTCTAGGGACCGCCGAGAAGTTGTCCTACTCCATGTCCCCAGGAGCTATGTCCTCCGTACAACTCAAATAAAAAATAGGAAGTGTTACTTTCTGCCCCTAGGTCACACCTCGTGGGTCCCCCTCAAGCAACCCTCACCCTTGTTGTGGCACACAGGATTTAATTTACCACAAAGAAAATATAAAACAATTACTTTCTTTAGTTAGTATATATCTACTAAACTAGTCATTTGTTTTTTTCCATGGAGTGTTCCTTTAATATCACTGTTTAAATGTAGTATTCTAGAAAAAATATCCATTAAAAAATGTATTACCTGATCGATGTTAGCATTCAGAGTTCTAAGTAGCCACAATCCACGACCATTGACAAGATATTCCCCAAGCACTGCCATGTTGCTCTCCTCTTCTTCATCTTCTTTTGCTTCTGATCCTTGAGTTCCACCATTGCACAGTTGGTTGACATCAGCCAAGAACTCTCGAGCAAAAGAGTTGCAGGAACTGCTCATGATTAAGCTAAAATAGAAATAAAGGTTATTTAAAATTACATAAATAAATCTATTAATCAGCAATGATATACTTACATTTCATATGAAAAATTATACCAAAGATTAGTCTACATGATTTTATTTTTTAATTAACATGGCCTCTTTCGACCCATGGTTACTGGCAGCTAAATACTGCTTACCTAAGCAAAGACTTGGAATGAATCCCCATTTAATGGAACACTCCTGACACAAAGCAGGACAAATCGCAGGCTCCAGGTCTCTATTGTGATTAGGAAGTTTAATCTGGCGCCTTGGTGTTTGTCAGCACCGACCACCTTATGCCCCCACCCCCACCCCATGAGATGAGCGGCTGTGAGCAATGGAGCTGGCTATGAGCAATGGACCCTTAGCATGGAAACACTGAAATTTCCTTGACAAGCTCATCTAACTTAATATGTTCCTATGGGAAAGCACTGTGTTTGGCTGAGAGAATTACTTCTGATGATGTCAGCCAAGCAGGCAGATCAGGGGAGAATAACAAAGAAAAAAGTGTATCAAGATGCGTCTTAAGATAAATATTTGTTTTGTGTTAATGTTAAAAGTGCTAATATAATACAAAAAGAGATTTTATTAAAGGACACAGAGGCTCCTATTATGCTTTCCTCTTTCTTTTATTCTTCAGCAGCAAAAGAAATATTGTATACATATTCCATGCAAAAAAAGAAAACAATTCAATAACACCACATCATAACTTCTAAAGGGTTAATCAAATACCACATATGAACCAATTAGAATGTCCCCATTACAACAAAGCACCATGTGACCCTAAGCCACTCCTCTTTCTTTTGCTGCTGCAGCCTCAGATAAGTACAAATTTTTTCTTTCCTCTGTTGCTGACAGTTAATAGCTTTGTTTTTTCGGTCAGTTTACCTTTAAATCGTTTTCTTTTGCCCTCAGGATAACATGTGTGTTTAAATCGTTGTTTTTTCTCTCTTTGGGTCTTTGCCCTCACCGTATTGTTTTCCCTCTCTCTCTTCCCCTCCTCCCCCCCCTCCCACCTCCGGTCGGGTTGTTTATTTCCCGACCGTTTTCTCTTGCTTCCCACTCCCCTCTCGTGTTTCTCTTGGGATTGGCAGTTTTGCCGCGCTTTTGCTAGCGCGGCCAATACTGCTCGTTTGGGGGCGGGAGTTTGCTCCCTGTTGCTGGGCAAGCTCTCCCTGTGTTCCCCAGGAGCTTATTCCTGAGGGAACACTCGTGAGCTTGCTGCATTTGTTGCTTCTGTCTGTATATTTGTATATTTCTTGTGCCTTGTCCCACATTGCTGTCTGGTGCCTGCTAGTATATTTGCACATTATTGTAGTTGGGAGTTAACCACTCTATTACTGTGCTGACAGGGTATACGTCTCAGCCTTGCCTGTATTTACTGCCCATCCATCCCAATAATGCAGGCTGAGCACAGTGCTTATAGTACCTCTACACCTAGAGCCACCATACCCACCCCTCCCTTACAGGGCCCCAAAATGCCCACTGCACTGGAAACAGCGCAGGAGCATATGGACTCAGAGGAATTGCATTCCCTCTTAGACGCGGCTATGGCGAAGTCTGTAACACAGGCCATATTTACCGCCATGGGTGCCATGTCTGATAATTTATCCCACTCTATAACCACTGCGATGAGAGCCACGCAATTACCAACTAACCCCGTGGCTAACCCCACAGAGGATAAGCCGGTGGCCCCTAGTGGGCGTAAGGCCGCTAAAAAGTCTCGTCATTTGGACGATTATGCCTCCAAAACCCTCCAGACGGACAGGGCATGTCCTGTCACAGAACCTGTGGTTGGACCACAACTAAGAGCCCCCCACCGGGCAAAATCGGTGACGAAATGGAAGAGGGCTAAGGCCCTACTGGAATCCTCCGACTCTGAATCGGAGCTAGAGGAGGCTCAGAGCGAGTCCGAGGAGGAGGACTCTGATGACTATAACGAGGACTCTACTGAGCCTCACTTGCGGGACTATAGCTCCGTCGCGGGCACGGACATGGACCATAAGAACGGAGCTGATGACTCCGCCTTAGTTGACCCTCAGGGCGAACCATTGTTCGATCCGGATACCCTCCAGCACCCGAGGTCCTCCGAGTGGTACCCTCTGGACCACGTAGCGAAATATATTGCTGCGCGCATCAGAAAGCCACTGGATAAGGTGGCGCGAAACAAACTGCGGGCAGAGTGCCCACGCCCCACGGTCCCGGATATGGCATGCGCCACCCCGGAGATGGACCCAAAAATCGCCCAATTCCTGGGAAAATCAGGCTGGAAGGCCAAGAATGGCTTGGATTTTGCCTGGCGAAATTGCCAGGATAAGGTATTGGACATCCTTGGACCTATCGCGAGGATGTTCGATATGGTTGAAATCGCGTTGGCAGGGGGTGCACCGCTGGACCTAGAAGCCCTCAGGGGGTGGATCCAGCGTGCCGTGTGTCTCCTGGGCAACGCGAATACGGCAGTGGCCACAGAAAGGCGCAAAGCGATTTTAATTAAAATTGAGCCTAAACTAGTTAACCTGGCTATCTCTGAACCAGGTCCCCAGGCTAAAGCCCTCTTATTCGGGGATAACTTTGTAAAAGAACTAGGCACGTATGTGGGCACCTTTACGGCACTTGATAAGGCTCAAGCCAGCATGAAGCGAGTGTTCCATCAGAGGGTTTTTGGCGGGGCCGGCAGATATCGGGGCCGTCTGCCCGGCCGCTCGCCCCGGGGCTCATACCGGGGCTCTCGTGGCTCCGTGCAACCTAGATTCACACCCCCGGAACCCAAGCAAGCCGGTTCGAGGTAGATCGTGGCACACCCGAGGACCCAGAGGCTCTTCATATGGCCGACGACCTTATGGTAAGTGCGCTACCTCCTCATATATCTGCATTAACTATGGTGGGGGGCAGACTGGGCCATTTTGTCAAAGCATGGCACATGATCACTGCAGATGCCTGGGTGCTCCACACGGTCCGGGGTTATTCTATAGACTTCGTGCAATACCCGGTCCAACTGGAACCCCCCGGCCGAATGGTGTTCCCCACGCGGGACCGGGAGTTGATCACTCAAGAGGTCCAGGCCGTAGCCTCCAAGCGGGCAATCTATACTGTTCCGTCCTCCACACCGGGTTTCCTAAGCAACCTATTCTTGGTACCCAAAAAAGGCAGAGGTGTTCGCCCAGTCATCAACTTGAGACCTTTAAACATGTTTGTCACGTACCACCACTTCAAGATGGAAGGTATACACTCTCTCCGGGACTTCCTCCTCACAGGGGACTGGATGGTCAAACTCGATTTGAAGGACGCATACCTCACGGTCCCAATGGCCGACGATTGCCACCACTTCCTGCAATTCAGCTGGGAAGGGACCATGTGGCGATTCCAATGCCTACCGTTCGGCCTCTCATCGGCTCCCTAGTGCTTCACAAAGCTAATGAAGCCAGTGGTCGCCCTCCTACGCAGCAGGGGCGTACGGCTCATAATATACCTGGACGATATCCTCATCATGGCCCAGGACCCGCTTCTGTTGCAAGAACATTTCTCTTGGACGAGAAACCTGTTAGAAAACCTGGGCTCTCTGATCAACTGGGAGAAGTCGGTCATCGAGCCCTCGCAAGCTATAGAGTTTCTTGGATTCACCGTAGACGCGGTGACCGGAACACTCCTACTCCCAACGACCAAGGTCAAGGCCATCAAGAAGGAGCTCAGGCGGACGCTCACACGTCCTGTCCTTACTTTGAGACAGCTGGCTGGGCACTCATACTCCGACTCTGTTCCTCTCGACTGTGCCGCCAAAGACAAAATCAAATGGTGGCTACAACACATGGAAGCCTGGAATGGCCGCGCGATCTTCGGAACAGCGCCGGACCTCATAGTGGAATCCGATGCAAGCTTGCTCGGTTGGGGTGCGCACTGCGGACCTTTCTCCACCGGAGGAAGATGGTCCAGGGAGGAACAGGGACTTCATATCAATTGCCTCGAACTGTTGGCAGGTTCGTTTGCTTTACGGAGTCTTTTGAACGTGTCGACCAACTGTTCCATCCTATTACGCATGGACAACGTTTCCGCGGTTCGATATATCAACCACCTCGGGGGCACGAGGTCAGCAATACTTGCGGAATTGGCGAAGGATTTCTGGCAGTTCTGCCTGGACCGCAACATATCAGTGCAAGCGGAACACATCCCGGGGATGAGCAATGTAGTAGCGGATTGGAACTCCAGACATCTACGGGATGCCAGCGACTGGCGGCTGAACCCGGCCATCTTCAGCCATCTGCAATCACTGTGGGGGCCGCTGGACATCGACCTGTTCGCGTCACGGCTGAACACACAATTACCGAAGTTTTTCAGTTGGAGGCCGGATCCAGAGGCTCTAGCGACGGATACTTTCCGACAACAGCGGCCGAACACCAGACATTACGCTTTTCCCCCCTTTTCTCTCATCGCACGGACCTTGTTGCACCTCAGACGACACCGGACATCTCTAATCCTCGTATCTCCCTTCTGGACGTCTCAACCCTGGTTCCCTACACTCCTGGAACTGTCCACAGACCTGCCGAGGTTACTGCCGGTGCACGACAATATCCTCCTGGATTCCTATGGCAATCCGCACCCTCTCATACTGCAGGGACATCTCAAGCTTTTGGCATGGCTCCTTTCAAGGGACTCGATGACACCCCAAATGTTCCACAAACGACTCTGGACCTCCTGGCAGGAGCTTGGGCCCCGGGTACAAGGAAATCATATTTACATGCCTTGAACGCATGGTATGGTTGGTGCGTGGAACAACACGTGGATCCCGTATCTGCAACTGTGAGTCACGTCCTGGGTTTCCTTACTTCACTTTTCGACCACGGCCTGGCGTATAGTACAATTAATCTATATAGATCAGCTATCTCGGCAGGCCATGTAGGTTGGAATGGAATCCAAACAGCGAAACATCCGATGGTGTGTCGACTCCTACGAGGCATAAAATTTGCACGACCACCACGACCTCGATATTCGGA